TACTGTGGTGCGGATAAACGAAGAAACTTTTAAGCCGGAGAGAAAGACGTTCCGCACTACAGTCTCAGCTACCACATGACGATTAATTTTTCACCAGCTCACCTGCACACTCATTGTTTTGTCTGTAAGGGGAGGACACTCCTCTACGAGAGCATCGCTTGCGGAAGCTAGGGCTGACGTCGTGCTCTCTCCTAGAAAGTTTAACCCCGGCCACTTGGGTGAATTCAGAAGTCGGACTCTGAATTTGGCGTCATTTCTGAAAAAAAACTACTCTGTGGCCCCTTGACTTTATCTAATATTCGCCTCCATACCAAAAAAAAAAAAAAGGATGCTCCCCGACTACCCCTGGGGCAATGCATACCAGTTAAAAAATCACTGTATAGGGGAATGAAAGGGCATCCTGATAGATTGTGTTAAAATGTACTTGTAATTTGCTTTGAAAGTACATTTTATTTGCAGTACTTTACTTCAAGTACATTACACCCGGTGTACTTACTAATTTACATTGTACTTTACTTCAAGTACGTTTTAGATGTGCTTTACCCAACACTATCTCAAGCTTTATCGAAGATCGCAGGAAACGCTTCTTCGTTCTCCACTGTCCACGCACGCGCTCAAATACAACATTGCGATATCTTGGCGTAAGGGTGTTAGTAATCCAAGAGTATACAGCTCGGACGAGCCCCGTCCAAAACCGTCTCCCATGTCGTCGCAGGTGTATACGTCGAGCAAGCCGGCGCGACCATTGCTGACGTCCAAACAAACTGAACGATGCAGAGAATAATCGTCGGCAGCGGGGCACCTCGCTGGACCCTCTACCTTCGGGTGGTCCTCCTCGCCACACCGATCACCCTCGGAATCTGCTGGGGAATCCCCTACGGCATACGGTGAGGGACATACATCCATGGGAGGGCCAACACAATCACAGTCGACGCCCAATCAAGCAGGGCCAAAACTGAATCGTCATGCTGCTCGTCAGCTCTTGTGCGTTTGCCTCACCGGCTAAAGCAATCACGGGCACGGAAAGAAAAACGCAGGATCCCACCGCAGTCACCGTGCGTGATTGATTGATTGAACCCTGGGGAGACCAAATGCACAAAGACAACGAGCGAAATGACGGAGCACTTTTTGACGCGGCCCTTCGGACCCTAGCGTTGACTGCGATCGGACTTATAAGTCCGATCTCACTATATATAGTGAGAAACGGAGTGGACAAAACGGTCCAATTAATCACTGCGTATTTCATTCATCAATCTCGATCAGACTGGGAGCATAAAATAAGAACTCTGAACTGTTTGATTTTTTTTTTTTTTTTCCGGTGGGGGTATATCATTTTAACGGTCGCCTCCTGTGCGCGCTGCCATAGTGGACTGTAGAATGCTTTCCGAGCATGCGCACTGTAGCTTTTCTGGACGCATGCGGATGCGTCCGCAGCCAACTGACTCGGGATTTTTCACCTTCCTGTATAACCAAAGTGCTTGGAGGGTTGAAAAAGCATATCCCTCAAACTAAAAACGAAATAAAACTTCCTAGATTAAGATAGCTTTTTATCCATAAAATGAATTCTGGGCTGCAATAAGTGATTTTAGATTGGGATTTCACTAAACGCTTGGTAGTTTATGGTGTGTTAAAAGAAAACTAGCACACGAGGGTAGAGAGTCAACAGTCTGCTTTTCGGTTACAAAATTCGAAAAATATGGCGGACAGTCCTTTCGTTCGGAAGCTCTTCCAAGTTTTCGCTGAGATACATCCGCGGTACTCGAGCACGTTGCCCGACCTTAGCTCACGTATTGGACGCAAGCACTGCGTCACTCGGACGTATGCGCTCGTGAACACTCATTCACATTGACGAAAATTTGGATTCGCCTTCGTGTCCATTGAGTGACATGACAAAACTTATCACACACACACACACACAAAAAAAAAACAACAACAACAACAAAAACACGTGGAAACTTGAAGTTACCGCGTTCCGAAAGCAACACCGTCAAAGTGGACAATTTTACGAATTACCAGTGCTTAATGTCGGGGGGTATCGAGGAGTCATAAACCCTCCCCCCCCCCCCCGCCCCCCGTCCCCCACGCCGATTTTGAAGGACGGTTTGAGACCCCCCCCCCCCCCCCCCCCCCCGCCATAGTTCTGGCGTTAGTGAAAGCACAATTATAAGTACTCCCTCCATCTTGTAATTAGAAATGTATGGAATTTCCCCCTTTTTTTTTATTGGGTAGCCATCTCCGGAAAGAAAAAAAAACAAGAAAAACTACGTTTTGAGTATCCATGTGGATTTCGTGTCGAATAAAATGGCGGATGTTTCAGGGACACTGTTAATTTGTGAAGAGAAAAATAATCGTAATCCACGTTGTTGGTCGATTTTGTTTACTGAGAAACATGCCGGATTACGCATGCGTTTTGATCAAGTCAGTCTTGCGTGTATCTGATATGAACCCCCCCCCCCCCCCCCCGCGACCCCTTGACCACAATTCGTAGAGACCCTCCACCCCACTCCCCCCCCCCCCCCCCCCCCCCCCTTCCCCGGCCTCCCCGCAATTTACGTCGATGAAAGCAAAATTAATCAGACTTGCCAGTCGTGGAAAGCCGACCACGTCGTCAGAAGGCTGGGAGGGCTGTCGTTGCAGCTCAACATTGATCGACGATTGCATCAGACGCAAGGAACACGGACGGCTGCAGGAACTTCCGTTCCGGTTAAATACAACGTCAAGACCACGTAATTTCTCATTCGCTTTTGACTTGGGGAGGAAAGTTAAGGAGGAAGATGTTAAAAAATTATTTCACGGTCCCTTTAATAATGAAACAAGAGTGCACAGCTCTGACATAGGCTTTCTTGCACCAACACTGCCGCAGTGCAATGGCATTTTCTAAAGTCACGCGCTCGACCCCACGCGTTCTACAACATTGCACATAACCCTTCAGACGGTGTACATAATATGGCTATGTTCAGTAAGCTATATGCTATAAGCTATGTTCAATAAGCCAATGCTTGGTAATAAAACATGAAATTTGATTTAACTTCATCAACGCTCGAGAAGTGCGGGTTCAGTGGCGTAGAAAAAAGGCTACATAGTTATTAGCCGACCCTATATTATACACATGCATTTTGCCACCCCAAGGTCCTAAACATTCCAAACTAAACCCGCCCCCCCCCCCCCCCCCCCCCCCCCGGCCCCGCAAAAAGAAGAAAAGAAAAAAGCCGTTTTATTCGGCCGGTTGTACCGATTGGTTCCAAAAAAACAATAAACCAATCTCACCAAGCATTCGGCGCGCGCGTGAAGCAGCCATAACCTTTAGTTCACAGGAGGCTGGTGGCACTCCCTGAGACACCTCGGGCCGTCTCGTGCTCTACGCGCACAGAGCTCCAGCGAAGTTGTCCCAAGTGCAGAAAGACAGAAATTGCTTCGATGCATCGTGACATGGGAAAGAAGGTGTGAAGGTGGGAGAGGAGGTTATACTATGCTCCGCCTCCTCGGGCCGGGTCGCGGAAGTAAACGTCTCGGCGTCGGCAATGGCGGACGTCCTGTAGCAGCTGTGGCTGTAGCCGTAAGTCCTTCGCGTGGTTGCTGGTTAAGAAAAAAAAAGAACGTTCCGCTTCTGTCCTGTGTGATTTCGAGGTCGGCTCCGATCAGGAGCTGTCCAAGGGGCAGTGTTACCACGGGAAATGAAAACGTGCTGAGTCTTTGGATGTGGTTGGCACATTCACGACGGTGTGTCGCATTTTAAATTTCTGGGAGGATTGGCAGATTGAGAGCTCTTTTTTAATTCGGTGGATGGTGGTGCATGTCCGTTCTTAGTTGGTGGAGCGATTTGTCTGGTTAATTCCGATAACGAACGAGACTCTAGCCTATTAAATAGGAGCGTGGTTCTCTGCACCTGGCACCCTTCTCAGAGGGACAAGCGGCTCCTACCCGCTCGAAACAGAGTAATAACAGGTCTGTGATGCCCTTAGATGTCCGGGGCCGCACGCGCGCTACACTGAAGGAAGCGGCGTGTTTTTATCCCTGTCTGTTAAGACAGTAAGCTTAGAAAAAAGTGGCTTGAGTAAATACAGGGCTAATTGAAGTCCATCGGATTACTCCCCAGCAAGTGTTCGTCTGTTTAAATAACGGCATAGAAAAATAACTTTCCATAAAATTTCGCCAAAAAAAACAAAACAATAATTAGTTCTTGGTTCAACGAGTCTACGATATAACTTCCGCGATACGCTCGACGCCGCACACGAAAGGAGGGAACTTTCGGACGCTAACCACCCTCGTTCTCGGCTGTTAGCAAAGAAACCGCGGCGTGTCGGCCACCTCGCCCGTGAGTCCTTTGGCTTCGCTCCTTAATACGTGTCTGCTAGAATTGTTAGACAAAAACACATCATACCGCTCGAGTTATTTTGTCTCTCCTCTCTGAAAGGCGAAGTGGAGCTCGCTCGTAAAGGTAAGACAGCTGTTGAATAGCAGGCGACGTTGCGAAGGAGCAGACGACCAGGGTGTAAGATAGACAGGTGGGGAAACGAGAGCCAAATGAGCGACCGGATTGTGTCCCCCTCAGGTTTCTCCTTTTCTGTGGCGCCATCTATGTGGAGCACCGCGAACTCTCACTCTGGGTGGGCGAACGGTGGCGGCCGGCTAAACTGACGGAGAAGGTTTTTCGTAGATTTTCAATAGAGGACTGTCGTGCTCTCGGTTTATTTTGCGCAATCTTCAATAAAGTTCCATGCAAATTCGATTCCAATTTTTTTCTTCTCGCCGCAGCGCCATCTGTCGCAAATCGGGGGTACCCACAAGCAGACGAGTACACAATCCGGTCACGGCGCTGCGGCAGGTTTCTATGGGCCGTTTCCCCACCTGTCTATCTTACGCCCTGCAGACGACGCTCAGATAGGGGGTTTCGGGCGACGCCCTATCTTTCCGCTCGAGCCAATCAGAGCTCGGCGTTCTGACGTCACCGCAACCCCTGCGAAAGAAGCAGACGAACTTGCCATCCGCATTACTCTTAAAACTGGATTGAAAACGATTGTTACCTCCGCAATAGGTACCTGGTAGGCTGCCAGCAGCCCTGGTGCGACGACTGGGCTCAGGATCTGGCCCTGTCCATCAACCCGCAGCAGAAGCCCTGCGACGACTTCTACGAGTTCGTCTGCGGCAACTGGAACCAATCAAATGTGCGTATTTATTTGAACGACCGGAGATAAGGCCACTGAGCATCACGGAGCTTGACTTTTGGCGCGAAAAAAGCCAAGCGTCTATGTACAAAGAAAATGTTTTCCGAGTTTTCCTCCTCCACTCCCCTCCTCTTCTTCCCACCCCTCCTTCTCAGCCTTTTCTCCTTTTCTCCCTTCTCATGTGTACCCTCCAATTATCCTCTTTTCCTCCTCCTGCGTGCCCTTCCATTCTCCTCTTCTCTTCCTCCTGCGTACCCTCCCATTCTCCTCCTCCGTACCCTCCCTTCCTCCCACAGTTTCCCCGCTAAATTTAGCTGAAAATTGACGCCACGTAACCTCAACACCAATTCAGTTTCCCCGCTAAATTTAGAGGGGGAAAATGACGTCACGTGACTTCGTGTCACGTCATTCATGAACAAATACAGTTTCTCCGCTAGATTTAGAGGGAAAACTGACGTCACGTGACCTCAAGACCAATTCAGTTTCTCGCTAAATCTAGCGGTGAAACTGAATTTGTGTTGAGGTCATGTGACGTCAGTTTTACCGCCAAATTTTTAGGGGGAAACTGCATGCGCAGTGTTGCATTATGGGACGTCACAGAACCTACACACTAATTTAGTTTCTTCGCTATATTTAGCGGGAAATTGGGTTGGTGTATAGGTCTGTGACGTCCCATAATGCAACGCGCGCAGTTACGCCGACGCCGTTGTACGCTGAAACAGGCGCCTAATTGAGCTGCGCTCTAAAAATAGTCCTGCCTCATGCCCAATGCGCGTTGGGCACAACGCGGTGTGTGTGTGTGTGTGTGTGTGTGCGCGCGCGCGCGTGTGTGTGTGGGGGGTGCGTGTGTGCGTGTGTGGCTGCTTCTGCAGTTGCTTTTATGCTGCAACCGACAACAGACGAATAAGAGCGCTGCCAAGCCTTCTTTCACGCCGCACACTCTAAGAATAATCACCTGTCAGTAGTCTTGTGCACGTTATTCGAAAAAAAAAACGTAATAAACTACATTTACTCTTGAATTCAAAATATTGAATGAGATTACTCGATTACTCGAGAAAAAAAAGTAATTGACCGTTAATTGAAAAAGTGACTTACTTTTCCGATTACTTCAAATTTTTAAAACGACAGATATTTCTCCCGGTTTGAGAATGGGTCTAACGTTCTGTCCGTTATTGGGTTAGAATCACCGAACTAAACTACTTAATCTACCAATGTTGAGAAACAGCCCCCTGTCGGAGACTTGCTTCGATAATTCCTTGGTAGGGAACTTGCAGAAACAAAGTGTGCCATTAAAGAGTGTAGATAAAAATAGAAACCGCTAAAACAAATTTGAGTACTTCCAGAAGTAATCAGATCACTCTTCTGATTACTGCATGCCTAATAAAAGTATTCAAATGATTACAGAATTACTAGAAAAATCGCTTACAAGTAATTTGATTACAGTAGTAGTTAGTACAAGATCAGACGATTTTTTAGCCTCGTCGCATCACCTCCCAACCTCTAAAAATAAAAAAAAAAAATGAAAAAAAAAATGGAGAAACGTTATTGCTTCTTTGCGCGACAATTTTTGGTTTTTGGGTCTTCGCCCTTTGTCCTGGCCCTTGGGCCTTAAAGAAAGTATCACCTTTCAAACAAAAGTGATGGATGGTCACGTTCAAATTTTGTTGTATACCTTGGCCAGTTTCGTCCTTCGATGCCGATTACCACAGAAACTTTATAGCAAGCAGCATACACGCCTCCGCCACTCAAAAGCTAGCAGACTTCGAAGACACGCATCACACAGTGTTTACAAACAAGCCTATGCGGAGAGCAAGTCGTCTGCTCCTTCCGCAGGGGTTGCGGTGACGTCAGGAAAAGACGCCGAGTTCTCATTGACTGGAAAGATAGTGGGTAGACCTCAATGCTAGATGCCTTGAGGTCTACCCCCTATCTTTTTTTAAACAGCCAATTGGAGCTCGGCGTTCTCACATCATCGCAACCCCTGCGCAAGAAGCAGACGAACTTGCGCCCCGTATAGTTTGTCGACAGCGTGTGTGGGCATTGCGCATGCGCACAAACCAGATCTGGGAGAAGTGAAGCGTCCGCGCATGCGCAGTGCCGACGGCAACGCCCCCGCAGTGACGTCAAATAGAGTCAAGGCTCTGTTATACTCCGACGTAACGCGTGCGCGCGTGCGAGCGCGTCACAGCGACGTCATGTCGGCGAAAACCCGACGCTCTATACTCCGGCGTCGTGGCGTAACCGACGCGACCGGCGGCGTTCGACGCAGCCTGACCGCCTCGACGCCAAAATGGAGCATGCCGTATTCCGCGCCGGCCGCGCCGGCGACGCCGGACCAGGATGCATCACGCGCTGGCTCCCGGCAGGCGTCGCGCGGGAAGCGCGGCGAATGCGAGCAATAGCAGACGACAGGGGCACCACTCCGTGTGGCGTCATGATTGAAGAATCGGACTCGGTCGGCCGAGAAGCTCATTGAGGGAACTCGTCCTCACCCGTGTGTCTACGACACAAGGAAGCTTGAGTACCGTAGATTGTGCGCTTGTCAAAGATGTACCGTATGCACATTGACCGCCTACGCTTGCGGCGCAGTTTGTGCACCAACAGTGCAAGCGCGAGTTTTCGTCGAGCAAGGTACGTCCACGCCATCGCTCGAACTTGGCGCTCAAGGAGCGCGAGCATTCTCGTCTGCTATTCGAAACGAAAAGGAACCGGAAGTGGCGCACTCTCACAGGAAACGTGCCCTCAGTCAGATTCTACGCATGCGCCACGCCGGCGGCCCACCGACGCACAGCCGCGGGAGTCACCAGGGCCGCCGGAGTATAAAGAGGGCGAATTTTGGACGCGCGCGGTCTGACTGACGTGACGTAGCCGACTTCGGCCAGCGTGCACTTGCGCGCGCGTTACGTCGGAGTATAACAGAGGCTTTAGGGTGAGAACGGCGGCAGTGCGTCTCTTTCGAATGCCCGGCTTCGAGCGCGCGCTTGATGCTTTTCAGTCGAGCTTTGGTTGTGCGGGCATACTCGACGATCACGAGAAGCTGAAGTGTTGTCGATGGTATATATGCGGAGCGCAAGTTCGTATGCTTCTTTTGCAGGGGTTATATGGTGACGTCAGAACACCGAGCTCTGATTGAAGGGTAGTAGGTAGACCTCAAAGCAAGCTGGCGTGAGGTCTACCCGCCATCCTTCCAATCAGAGCTCGGCGTTCTGACGTCACCACAACCCCGAAAAAGAAGCAGACGAACTTGCGCTCCGCACAGAAAGCTCGCGCTGGAGGCGGGACAATGGAAGAACCTGCTAGCCATTCTCATCTTGTCAGGGACTGTAGTTTTTATTTATGTGAGTGTACAACTGACAGCACGAATTAATCTATTCCTGTAGGTATTGCCGAACTCGTTCCTAGCGCTGCAGATACGCGTGTTTCTGTCCTTCTTCAAGCGTCTCATCCTGATGGACGTCAAGAGACCAGCCCCACGCAGTGTCAGCTCGCACGTCAAGGCTGCCCAGTTGCTTCAGACTTGCATCCAAGACGCCGTCCGCGGCGTTGATAATATAGGTAGGTACGAAGACACGCTCGAAAAAAGCGCCTTGGGCCCTATTTTTTTTTCCCCGCACAGCACTCAGGGAGCCATGGAGTCACCGGGATCTGTGGGTTCAGCATACACTACCTAGAACAATCGAGGCCTGCAAACGACCTCCTCTTCCTCCATAAAACGTCATCACAGTCATAGAGCGCCAACTAAGCAATGCTGACTGCAAGTCGTCTGCTTCTTTTTTGCGCAGGAGTTGCAGTGACGTCAGAACGACGCCGAGCTCTGATTGGCTGTGATTGAAAGGATAGCGGGTAAACCTCAGTGCTAGATGCCTTGAGGTTTACCTGCTAATTTTGTAATCATCCAATAAGAACTTGGCTTACATCTGACGTCATTGCAACTCTTCCGCAAGAAGCAGACGAGTTGCTCTCCGCATTGGACCCGAGCCCGATGCCAAGCGTTCTTCGACGCGTTGATTGGACGCGAGCTTCCAGTCGAACGCTAACGCAGCGCTCATGTCCAATCTGTTTTCGCTTCATCTCGCTGTACAGACGTCAAAATTCTAGTGCACAGGTTTTGATTATCCTATTGGCGGCGTGCGCGAACTACAGGGGGCGCTTCTCTAGCTATCATCATCATTGTTTGGGACATACGGGCACGACAGACTGGGACAGACCGCGCAGATCTTAGATCCCTCGGCTCGGCAGCTCGCTTCATGCGCTGTTTGGGTAACGCGCTGCAAAACCTGTTTCACGCGTTGTGTTTATTTGGTGAAGTGATATTTGTAGTAGGACATTTGACCAAACTTTGAAACCGCACGTGGCATGCGTAGTCGTGCCTACAAACACTTTTGGCGCTGACGTGTCGAAGCGCTCGGATGGTGCTGTGCTGTTCCTCTACCCCAGTACAAAAGGCTGGATGATGAAAACAGAATATCCAGCGCTTTATCCCACTACAGCATCTACCATAGCAAATAGGGTGTATTTTTTATTATGCTTAGAACAAAATAAAACTAAGAAAGGAATGTCTCATTAAATTGAAAATAGGAAAGCGAAATTCGAGAACCTTTCGCGTGTGTAGTAGACACTTCAGTGAAAGCGATTCCGTGTATCCTGTTGGTTCTAATGTGTTCTGTGATTTCTGGTCTCTTAGTCCCAAGTTGATTTCTTTTCGACTTTTGTAAACCACTAAACAAGCATTTCCTCAAAATAACTGGCAGGAAGAAGAAGTGGCTGGCTTCCAGTGTTGTTTCAATTAAATCCCTGCCCATTCACCCAGTCGACGCGGAATCAGCGTCTAAAAAAATGTACACCCGTTATGAATTACTACAGCTTTTGCATAATTAATTTTTCGGATCCAAATGCGCATAATGCGTGATGCGCTTCTTAGCGGGCGATTTTAAATTTGTAAAAAAAAATTAGTAAAAATTAGATAGAACAAATTAATCAATCGCCTGAATTGGCCGGCCATGTCCGACAATTTAAGAATTTGTGAAAATTTCTGCTTTTCTTTCTAGTGGAAGTATTGATGTGACAAACTTTTTTATCACGTATTCGATGTTGGAGGAGCTAATTGCGTCAGTTGCTGACGAGCATTTGCTCGTCAGCCACAGTCAAATCACAGCAAGCTCAATGTGCCTAAAACAGGAGTGCGGCGCTTTGCAACACAACTGTGCGCGCGTGCACAGCTAAGAAGACGGCACGTCGTTCACTCTGGTGAATGCAAAACCTTTTTCTACAACAACCTTCACAGATCCGAAAAAAGACCGAGGTACACCTAAGCATTCCTCATGAGTTGTGAATGCGAAAGCATGCAAGCCACTCGTCCGCTCCCTTTTTCATCTGCTGCGTACCTTTCGTCGCCGGTCAGCGCGTGTGCTCCGTGGGCACGCTGACCATGGACGCGCAGCGCCATGAGGGGAGCGGTCGTGGAAACTGACGGGCGCAGTGGCCAATGGGAGCCCCGTCGACGGGCGCCAGCCAATGGAACCGAAGGAAACTAGGTGCCGTTTTCGCACTTCAAACTGATGACGTCAGCTCGCTCCATGAGACAGTTAATGCTTTCGCATTTAAAACAAGAATCAGAGAGGCTGTGAATAGCCCTGCCGCACGTCGCGCAAGCTGTAATTTGAAGCTCCAGTTTTGTTTCTCAACATCTCAAAGTTGTTTTTTTTTAATATAATTGATGGTGGAGGCAAATTTGTAAAAACCCCAGGGGTGATTATCTATGAATGCGATAGCATTTATCGTCGCACACACACGGGCAGGTGTTCGGTTCCTCGCTAAATTTAGAGGGGAACCTGAATTGGTGCATAGGTCACGTGAGGTAAATTCTCCGCTAAATTTAACGGAGAACTTGAATTTGTGCATAGGTATCGTGAAGTCAACTTTTCGCTAAATTTAGCGGGGAACTTTAATTGGTGCGAAGGTCACGTGAAGTCAATTTTTTGATAAATTTAACGGAAAATTGACTACATTAGAGGCGACATACATAGACAGAAATTTGTGGTGAGTAGCTTAATAATGCTATCACATTAAAAAGCAACTTCGAGGTGTTGTTACTTATCAGAAAGATCACTCACGCAAACGTCATACACTTTTTTTAATAAATAAACTTCTTTTGATCGGCATAGATGCGAACTAATATAACGATTCCGTGTTTTGAGATAGCGCGTCGTGTGCTCGCATCCTAAAAGCTCCGTCACAGGAGGGCGCCCGCGAGGGCGCGCCACCAAGGTGATGTTTCTGGGCATGACGCGTTTCGCATGCCCACGACATCATGTTCAACACTACATGGCAGACGTCATTTTTAGGTTAGTATGGATGTTGTGCACCAAGCGCATCATCAAGCGCACCATTAAATGGCGGCTGCTTTCCCTCGATTGAGCATCTGATAACTATATATGAACCCTCCTGGCCCGATGAGAAGGCTTGGTGACATTTCACACAGTACCATATGGGACATCCCTCGCAGATTACGTGAGGCAGTTCATGTCCCAGTACAACCTGTCCTGGCCTCCCGACAAACGCCATGGTTCTCCCTCGATGGTCGATGTCCTGGTCGAGCTGTCCCTCGTCAGGGGCATCCACCTACTGTTTCAACTGACGCCGGACGTGTACTTCAAGAAGCCCGGGTACTACATCCTGCACTTCGTCTTCAGCTACCAGTTCATTATGGAGTGGATGGTCCTGCGTAAAATCATCATCAGCGAGGGACGCACCCGCCAGTTCTTCGAGATCATGGGCGAACTTATCTCAGGAAAGTAAGTATTCTTTGCTCAATAAAAAACCTCCGGACTTCTAGTTCTGCGACTGCTTTCTTTGTATCTGGTAAACTTGTACCATTTGAACCTGTTGGCGGCTTTTAAACAATTAGGAAAAGATCACATAAGGGACGACAAAGACGTCTTTGTCGTCCCCTGTCTCCTCTTTCTAATTGTTTAAAAGTGCATCTGATACATTTCTGATACTCATGACGTAGGTTGATGTTTACCAAACACTCGATTCCCACCTTATGTCTCGGTGTTTTCTTCTGCAGCTCAACAGCAGTCATCAGGATTGCTCGCGTGATGCAATGTTCGTATGTCGGTAACTTAGTCGCTAATATTGGGGTTTGACATTAGTAAAGCGCAACAAAGCGGGATTTGGCATATATTTGATTGTTTTCAAAAACTGTAGCCCCGCTGCGACTATTCCAGGAGTAGGGAAAATAATTGAACAAAACATAAGCACAATTAATATCAACCAAGGTTATATATGCACGCACGGTGATACGAGAGTCTGCATATGTAAAACTTAAGCCTGTGTAGCACAGTCACTGAAATATATTCATGTCTTTACATCTTCCACGCTAAAGAAACTGGAATTACGACGTAGAACTTCAGCTAACTTTCAGAATGAGTAAGACAACATATGGTTACAATGCGAAGTGAAACTTTGTTGGCGTACAGACTTCCATGTTTTTTTTTTTATTTGCAGGACGCCTGATCTGCAGCTCATCGAGCGCGTCGTGTTTCTCGACAACACGCTGCTGACAGCCGCACTGCCACCAGCGGGCGACCGTCCCAACACCACATCCACGTACGTGCGCTTCTCCACTCTCGATAACCTGACCGGCTCGACGTCACTGGGCGAAAACATGCTGCGTGCCGTGAACCGCCTGCTGCCTCCCGACCGCCAGATGACGGACGACGACGAGATCTGGGTCACCCACGGCGGCTACCTGGGTTACCTGGGCAGGCTTCTGGGCGACGATGCCCGCTCCGAGACGCTGAGAGGATATGTGGGCCTGCAGCTGGCCAGGTATCTGTCCGCGTCAGCGTCCTCCCGAATCCTGAAGGAACAGATGCCCCAGAGGAGCGGCCCCATGATCCTCATGCTGAGTCACTGCGTCATGGACGCCATCCTGACGATACCGTACGTGATGGGAGACCTGTTCGTCCGCTGGAACCTCGAGGAACGCGACCTTGTCGAAATTCGCGACATGGTAACGCGCGTCCGCAACGCGACGCGCGACGGCTTTGTGAACTTGTCCTGGATCGACGAGGCTACGAGGACTAGGGCCCTTGAGCGCATCGACCACCTGGGCAGTCTGGTTGGGCGACCTGTCAATCTGTCACGTACGGAGCAGCTGGAGGATCACTACTCGTTCCTGCCAGTACTCAAGGGCAGTTACGCCCACATGCTGGCCGCCATCAGAGACTCAGAGTCGAAGCGCCTGAGGGGCCTGCTCAAGTCCTCAGAAAGCTACTTTCCGGCGATCAACGTAGAACTGCCCACCGTCCTCGTGAACGCGTTCTACGTACCCGTTTACCACGTGATGGTTATCCCTCCGGCCATCTTGTTTGCTCCCTTCTACGCTCACTCCGTGCCAGCATCGTTCAACTATGGCAGTCTCGGCCACGTGGTAGGCCACGAGATTACGCACGCGTTCGACCCGGAGCTGAGCCTTTACAATGCATCTGGGATCCGAGAGGACTGGTGGACGTCACAGTCCCGCAGGAACTTCGACGTCCGCGTGCAGTGTCTCAAGACATTCTACAACAAGGTGCCATGGGCGGGGGGAGTGCCTTACGGAGACACGGCATTCTCAGAGAACTTCGCAGACTGCGGTGGACTGGAAAAGGTATATCGAGCCTTCAACTCGCTCGGGTACCAAGCGGACCACGAGATCGGCGACAGGAAGTACTCGGCCAGACAGGCGTTCTTCATCAACAGCTGCTACAAGTGGTGTTCAAGAGAAATTCCCGGGTCCAGGACGGAGAATAGCGGCGATAGCGTAAAGTTCTACTCGCCCATGCATATGCGATGTAACGTGCCGCTGATGAACACGCCGGAGTTTGCGGCGGAGTTCAAGTGCGCCGAAGGAACTACCATGAACCCAAATCAGCGTTGCGAGGTGTTTTAAATGTGGAGAGTTTTATGCAGTGTCGTTATGCCGACCGCATCTCGACTACAATGTGCCGCAATATCAAGCGGAGCTAGTAAAGGACTCATTCGCGAAACCAAAAACAATCACTATAGAAAGAGGTTCGGTGAAACACTCGTTCTTGAAATCTAGCTGGTGCGCTATACAAAAAGAAACCAAAGGAGAGGGGAGGTTAGAGCGTCTGGTAACATCATAGAGCCCAGCTCTGACTGGGAGGATTGCGGGTAGACATAAAGGCTACCTGCCTTTTTCTCTTCCCACTGTCTCCATCCAATAAGAGAGAACAACGTTGTCTGCTCTTTGAACAAAGTTTGGCGTTCGATCGCCGAGTCTGGCGTTAGAACGCCAAATACCACACCATGCATGCGCGAGGGGCAGTCGACGATCTTGTTCTCTTTGATCAGAGGGGAACAGGGGTAAGAGGCAAGGGCAGCCTAGTCTTTATTGTCTCCAACCATTATCCTTCCGATCGGAGCACGGTGCTCTGACGTTACCGAGCGTTCCTCATCTCCTCTTCTCACTCAGTTTCTTAATTTCACAGTTGTGTTGAAAATTTTACGGAGCGCGTCGCATTTGTGAATATATGACGCCACGCCGTTGTTGCAAGCGTCCAATCGGCGCACTGCGTAAACTTTGGGTCCAACTTTGCGTTTGAAGAGCCTTCAATGAGGACGACCGACATGCCGTATGGGCCTTGGTGTGAGCATACATATTACGAAGTTTTTGACGTGATGTGACTGGCCTTCTTGTCGTCCTTCGTTTTATATTCTGAACCAATCACGGGCACAACGCAATCATCATGCTGCTGCGTACAAATAATTTAAATTCTGCCGGATTCAACACTGTTGTAGATGAGCTCATTTTAGTTAACGTATAGCAACCTTAGAAAGCACGAACACATTATTTCCGTATTTTCACGAAATTTTGGTGGTCGCCAGTTTAGTTGAATGTGTTATAAATAAACGTATGTATAGATATAGGGTATACTCTTCTGTCGCGAAACCTTCAAAAACGGTTGACAGATGCGCTCTCGAAATTTCGAAAATCAGTCCAGCGGAAAACTTTTCGTAGGTAGCGCTTAATATTTTCTATCTTTCACATTACTAGCACCATACCTCAGGCCACCGCCTTGAGCATGCCATTTATGGGCACTGTCGTTTGTAAAGAGGTAACTTGTTTTTAAAGGAAAGGTCCCAGTCAACCAGCATTCATCTGTTGGATATCTAAGAGACGTTCTGCCCGGACATTCAACGCATCCAATGGATATCCACAAAAATCCATGTAACATTGAAAGTACTACCATGCAGTACAAAATGATCCCCTAAGAAACGAACCACTAACATAACATTAATGAGTCTGCAGGACATTTGGGGCCTCTTTTGGACACTCAGCTTGATCCTGTGGACGTAACATCTACATGCATAGGACATCATGAATTATTCTCTTTGGCATCCATCTAATGGATGTCTAAAATATGTTCTGCCCAGGCATTCAACACATCCAATGGATATCCATTGTGATCCATCCAAGAATCAAAGTACGTACCATATGCAGTGCAAAATGATCCCTCAACAACATGCTGCCAACGTAACATGGATGCCGCTGCTGGACATTTGAAACCTTTGTCGGACATTCAGCTTGATCCTGTGGACGTACCATCACATACTTTGAACGACATTAATTGCTCTCCCTGGTATAAGGAGTATTCACTGGGCGCCATATGTGTGGGTGATGTCTAGAGCGCATGCTCTGAACGAGCCCACATTAATAGGCTGCAAGGATCGGCAATCTTAAGGGTGCGGAATGCACGTTACAAAGGAACTGTGGAAGCTCGACATCAGCACGCGTTCAGCAGTCGCGCACACGGATATGGCCGCCAGTGAATGCTTCCTATATAGGGAGGGTTCCGTGTTTTCGGAGTTTTATTTTTAGTGAAATTCGGAGGGTGTTTTTCGGAGTTCATTTTTGCCAAAAAATTCGTAGTTTTTCGGAGTTCATTTTTGCCAAAAATTCGTAGTTTTTCGGAGTTCATTTTTCTTTGATTTCCAATTCTCCGACATCTGGAGTTTAATTACGCAGTGTCTCCTGTTAAAACAAAATAAAGAAATGAATAATGTCCACGTGTAACGTATGCCAATAAAACGTTCAGCCTTTCCACTCTCGTGAAGAAGGAAGACCAGCGGAGCTGTACTCGATACACTGCCGCAACGTGCACGCGCCCGATTCCCGCTTCTTCTCGTCCGACACGCCGCCGATCGTGGATACGTCTCCGGCGAACCAGAGTCGGTCGCACACGGCGCTCGTGACGCCAGACGCGTTCTCCACGAGCTCCCCTCCAGAACCTCGCCGTCGCACCCGGGAACTGTTCAGCGGGCGTGGAGTGCAGTCGTCGCCGGGCTTCGCGCTTGCGCTTCGCCTCCGTGGCACGATCGTCGTCCGTGGCGTTGGCCCGCCGGCGCCCTTGACATCGCTGGTTCCGTTCTCGGCGGCGGCTTCCCAAGCGAGCGATGTGCTCTTTGGCAAGGGAATCTGAAGCGCTGGACGGGAAGTCGAGGCGACAGCGGCTTTGCGGCGGTTGCGGACCCAATCGCGCTGCTGCGTACATCACCGCTCCTTCCGCAGCCTGTCTCCTTTCCCCGAAAAGGCCGATCCATCGTGAGTCCAAACCGAAACTGATAAGAGCGTAGAAGCGAAGGAAACAGCGCGCAATACAGACGAGGACGAAGAAACAAACGTGACGAGCGCTTCGGTCGTTACGTGTGCTTCTTCGTCGTCGGCTGTTTTTCGCGCTGTTTCCTACGATGAATTCCCACCAACGCGCCCAACTATCAATAGGAGGTATTCACTGGACGCCATATTTGTGGGTGCTGTTTAGAGCGCATGCTCAGAACGAGCTTCCATTAATAGCCTGCTAAGACCGGCAACCTTGGTGGTGCTAAATGCACGCTCCAAAAGGACTGCGGAAGCTCGCCGTCAGCACGCGCTCAGCAGCAGCGCACACGGATATGGCCGCCAGTGAATGGATCCCTATAGGGAGTATTCAATGGACGCCATACGTGTGGGTGCTGTTTAGAGCGCATGCTCAGAACGAGCTCACATTAATATGTCGCTAAGGCCGGCAATCTTGGCGGTGCGGAATGCATGCTGCAAAAGAACTGTGGAAGCTCGCCGTCAGCACGCGCTCAGCATTCGCCCACACAGCTATGGCCGCCAGTGAATACTCCCTATTCTTCTATGATAGCTGGAAAGGTTGCCCCCATCTACGAGCGTCGGCGGAAACCATACTGGTTGTGTGCTTGCCGCCGCCGCTTATAGATGGCGGTAGCTGTCCAGGTACGTTTGTGTCGACATACCGGACACGATCCTGGGGAACCTTTTTTTCAGTGAATCAATGAAAATAGAGATGAAACCTAAACACGTACATGACTAACACGTTTGAAGCCTTACACGCTACGAAATGCTTGTTATTCGAGAGTTTTAGTAGACCGTTTTCATCTTCCGATCCGCTCTGAGGGTGCCAAACTGCGCATGCGCGGCCCTCTTCGCCGGAATGGAAAGCGGACGTCCAAAAACGCGTTTTAGTAGAGCGTTTTTCTTCAGCGTAAGAGCGTTTTGAGCGGGTTCGAAAAATTTGCTTGCGTAGCCCCACAGGTGGACGTTTATAGTACTAGTAAGACAAAAAAACCTAAGCGTTAACACCAAGAGAGTAAAAGGGAGCGTGATTGTAGAGGTAGTAAAAACGAAGACGACAATAATGAACACAAAAGAGTAGGCACACACCTGAAGAAATATTAAGCTATAAAATATAAATATAGTCGTTCCACCTTGTGTGCGAGTGAAGCCGAAGGTATAAGCATGAGCATGTTGCTCTAAACGGTACTTGCACTGCACGAGCGCGCGTGGTTATCAAGGACGCTGAAAGGCCGGCACTCGCTCTTGTAGCTTCTGCTCCACTCGAATTAAAACTGAAACAGATTTACTTATTCGAAGTAGAAAAATAAGAGAAAAGGACGAAGTTTGCGCATTGCGAGTACATCCTTTTGCGTAGTACGAGTACAGTGTTGCTCAAGGCTAGCAAGACATCTGCACGATGAATCCCCGCTGTTCTCAAGGAAGGAGACTTCCACTAACGAGATTAAGCTGGCGAGACATCGAATCTATGATTCGTATCCCTCGTGCCATCAAGCGCCGAAGCTTCCTTTCCGAACGCGGTTTGCTGGATATTTCCGACGTAGAAAAGAAACCCTTTAGGAAGCTATCCTGTTTAAAGAAGGACCTGGCTGTTCTGCATGCGGGCCTCCAAATACCAGCACCCGACAGATCGGCGCAGGGTGTTGCCAATCTGGCGAGACGCTTTGCATGGTTCTTTCTCGACTGGCCTATCCCAACCGTCTGTTCGTACTTGGATGAGCGTTTGGACGGAACTTGTCGGTGTTCTTCAGTTCTGTGAACCTCATCGTGGGTCACCTCAACGAGAGGTTCCGCCACCTGCTCGCTGACACGAACAAACTTAGGTGGTTGACCCTGGCGAAACTAGAGCTGTGCTCACAGGTGAGACCCTGCATGGTTTGTGTAAATTTCGCGTTTCCATTGTTTCTAGCACAGCTGCTCTGTCTGGTGAAAAGTTACTTTTTTCTATACACCAAAGGTGTACATGGGCAGTGTCAGGGCAAGTCACGACGAGCGCGTTCGTAATCTATGAGTATTAGTAGGCCACTTTTATGAGCCCTCTTTGCTCTACTTTACGCTCTGCGAGAAGCATCGTCCCCACCGCGCATGCGTGGCCCGCTCTGAGTTGGAGCGTATAGTTAGCGGAGCGAGCGTGCGCTCCGCTTCACAAGTTGTAGAGCGGACTGCCCTCAGCGTCCTTAGCGTGATCGCTTAGATCTCAAGATGGCTGCACTTACTCAATACGCGTCGATGTTTTTGACCGTGACCTCAGCTTGAAAGAGGTCGAATCAAGAAGTAAAGCGTACGCCCCGCACGTAAAAAGTAAACCATTCGATTTGAGTTCTATGTAACACAAAACAGCATAATCAAACGAAGTGAACGAGTATCACTTTGCAACCAGCACGGCGTCGGTAAAGTCGTCGCGTTTTGTGGACGTCCTATGGCTATGCAGTCAGATGTAGGGGTGCGCGTGCTTGAACGCCGATTATATCTGTGCATGCGCCCTCCTGTCGAAAATGCCACTGAAAGCTGACCACGAGCATAGCACTCGCAAGCTGCACCAAAGAAACCACTCCCCCCCCCCCCCCCCCCCCCTCTCAGCTTTATTTATTCACACACGCTCGCAACTTTTGAATTGTTTAACTTTCCTCAAGAAATGTTTGCATTGGATTTCCTTGGTAGATTTAGAAAATAATAGAAACTTGAATGCAGCCTTTTTAAAAGTGCAACCCATGGTGCCGCTAGTCTTCGAGGCCGCCTTATTTTGGCCAAGTGTCTAGGGAGCAAGAGAGCTACGTCATTGTTTGTCGAGGATGCGAGTCTAAATGTATTAGACACGAATGCTGCGTCAATACTGAATATGAAATGGGTTCTAGTCACAAGTCTCGCACAAAAAAGCGATGCCCAAAATATGGCGGCCGAATATGTTACCCGGTGGTGTTTTGAAAAGAGTTACCAATAACGGTCGAAAGAATATTCCACGTCAATTTTTTGTCTGGTGAAAACCAGACAGGCATAAACAATGCTAAATTTAGCAAACACAACCCTGAACTTCTAAGCAATAGTGGTAGATTAGAACAGTTTTCAGAAGTTTCGTTTTGAATTCCGGCGTAGCGGGCCTCGCATGCACAGTTTGACGGCCTCAAACCTTAGCAGAATTAAGGAACAACTATATATATATATATTAATTTACGATACCCAGTTTTTTACAACCCTACAATGGAAATACGCTTTATCTTAGAGGAGTAACAAGTCCCATATCACATGTTTTGGTAGTGTTTAAATACTGCCGTGTTGTAAGAGTG